CCTAGGAGCCACTTTCTCCAAGCCAAAAATGTCTACCTCTGTACTTCAACCTTTGTATCTTGTGTTGACTTCACGCACTAAAGAAACGTGAATCTGGCATGGATATAATCCAGGGGCTTGAGCGCCCGCTTCACTACCACCAAGACATTTATTTCGGGTGAGAACAGGGTTTACAGCAGCCTACTGCTTGCTTCAGCCAGCAGCACCCCTGTGCTGGGGCTCTCATTTCTCTGTGAATATGCATGTTTATGGGATCAGTGTTGGTTTTCCTTTATGCAGAGCATAGGGTCTCCTCTTACATAGGCTGGGAAGGCTGAAAAGATTTCCTCTGGCCCCCTTCCGTGTCTGTTTGAGAGAGTGGAGACAGGCTAAGCCTGCAACCTTCCCCCCCCCGCCCTCCAAACAGCAGCACAGAGGGCATCGGCGCTGCTCAGGGTGGGCTCTGCACTTGGTGAACCTCACTGTTCAGCACAGAGCTCCTGAGCTTTGCTGAAAGCCCCCACACCAGCATCCTGTCCTCGATGTGCATGTGGTTAAGGGTGGGTGGGGGAACAAGTTAATTGTTAGTAACCTTTCATAGAAACACACTTATCTTCGGTTTTAAGCTCCATGAACATTGGGGGGGCGTTAAGGCCTGCTCTTCTGCCTGGCTACAGCTGCTCCTGAAACCAGCCCAAGGGAAGCAGGAGCACAGAGGCCGTGTTTGGAGGAAGGACTTTGCCCCTCCCACGCTTATATTTTGTTGTCTGGGCAAGGCTGCATCCATTGGGAAAACACCGGTTTCCTGTCCCAAACCTTTTTTCAAGCTGCCCTGACAGGAAGGATAAATAAAGCACAACCAACTGCTACCCAGAGCCATCAATGGGACTGCGGGCACAGCCCAGACTTCCGCAAATGCATCCATTCTCTCCCTCAGGGCTTGGGCTTCAGGGGGACTGAGCCTCTCTCCCACCTTCCTTTTCACAGAGTGGGATCAACTGCCTGCTCCAGTGGACTGCTAAAAAAAAAATAAAATGTTTACAGTTTGGTAACTTCCAGGTCCCACTGGCAGAAGTGGGGGTGCCATGGCACTCTTCTCCCCCAGTTCTTGGGTGGCTGAAGAGTTTTGAGGGGCTAGAAAAGCCCCTAGAAAAGATGGAGCAACAGTGTTGTTCTGTTCAGAGCTGCAGCTAGGATGGGTGACTCGCTGCTCTCCCCACACCAAATGGAGAGTCAGCAAAAGCTAGGCTTAACTTTCCCGCCAGTGCTTTATTTTTAACTTGAGCCCTTACATGGGCAATTGTGTGAATTTTGGCTAGCAGCCTTTCTCTTCAGTAACTGGTGGGGTTTTTTTTGTTTGTTTTTTGTCTGGACAATCTTGGTGCTGTGAGTGACTGTGATTGTAAAACTTGGTACTGTGAACTTTTACTATATGATGTAAGATGTGTTGACGGGATGCTAAGTTCCTGGCCAAAGGAGGTGTAATTACAGGTATATTATGCTTGTACAGATATTTGTTTCCTTGCACCTTCGTTTTTCAGCATTAGACAGATAGTAAAAGCTCAGAAAGAACTACAGTATTATTCAAGAGAACGAGATGATACCTGTACCTAGGAGTACTCCATACTTCAGTCAAACAGCTGAAGAGAAAAAAAAACAAAACAACAACACAAAACCACAAACAGAAACCCCCAAACTTGTCCAAAAACAAGAGAGAGAAAAAAAAAAAGCTATTCACCCCCAGCCATGTTTTGCTGCTCCTATGGACAAGTTCCCAATAGCACGCAAATGCATAGAACATTCCCAATACACTGAAGTGTAAGCACAGTTGAGACACTAGAAGAATCATAAAATTGCTGTTTCAACAATGAGTGCCTTTTTCCATTTAAGACGTTATTGAGAAAATGGCATATTTGAAGTTTATCCAGCCATGGCATATTCAAACCATTGACAATTAAATCCCAGTTCAAATTTGTGCATGGATGTAAAGGTTGCCTAGGACAGATGCCCCTGCAAAATGATGCTTCTGCTGTGTAGAGTTCCTTTGTGGAAAAAGTAGTTCTTTGTAGTGGCATGGTTTCTAGGTTGTTAGTAAGTGTGCTGATTGGAGAGCACAAAGCTTGCATAGTAATTGGCTGGGCAGAAGTCCACTTGCAACTACAAGGGCAGCTCTGCTGCCACTTCAATTACTTAGTACAGAGAAACACTTAAAGCTCTTCAACATCTTGTTTATAAGCCTGTCGACCATTTGAATTCCCTTCTCTTTGGTAATCAAGCTCTCACTTCCATTTAAACCCTTCTGCCGCACAATGGATCTGTTTGCAGAAGAGAGAGCGAGCGGTACCATTAAAGTGCAAACAATACCTCACCCAATGCACCCTGCACACCTGCCGTATATTCTGCCAACATTAAATCACTGGTCCAGGTCAATAACACTTTGCTAAATGACATTGTGCCATACTAAGACATGTATCCTTGGGATTCTGTTACAAGCCTTGTAACACAACTCAGCCCTTAAGCATTTTATTGCGCTCTGTTTGCTATCCTGAGAAAACAGATGACTACTCCCAGGAGGGGAAACTGAAGTGAGAGATAAGGCCTGTGGCCAATGGACACTTGGCATCCCTCTGGCATTAATCAGAACTTGTATTTTTTAAAAAGCAAGATTGTTAAAATAAAATTAGAAACTTGTGACTGATTCTGCTCTTTTCTTCCCTCCTTTGAGTCTTGCTGGGCTATTCAAGTTTGCATTCAGGGACCAACAGATGCATTACAATTACTTGATTTCCTCATATTGGATTGCTAAAATAGTGTCTGGATTTTTCCCCTCAAACCTCTTGTAAGTGAAAGCAAATTCTGAAAGATGTAACACCAAGGGAGTTATTTAAGAAGGGAATGACTAAGGCAAGAAAATCCGGATGACACTTCTGAGCTTCCTATTTAAGTGATTTACAGGAACTCATACCACTTCAAAAAGGCACATGGGGAAAAAAAAAAGTCTGATTTACATGTTAATTGCTGTGAGATAAAAGAAACTTTAAGAAGTGGGATCATCAGGATGACAATTATTCACATAATCTGAGAAAGGGTTCTCACTGGAGAAGCACTGAGATCACAGCTGCCTCCCGCTTAGGTCCTGTTGGGATAAGTCCTGTACAGAGAGGAAATGAAGGTGGCACCCAGTCTCAAGTTTGGATTTAGGCAGGGACTGTCACTTTGTTAGTCTTTCTAGGCATCTGGCTGCAGAAAGAGCATGTTTTCTTAACAGTCTTGCCTCACTGGCCAGCCTACCACAGAGGTTACAAACATTTAACTTTTTTAACACCCCTTTTGAAGGAACATTCACTTCCCATGTGTGAGGGCCCTCAGCTGTATCCAGCAGCACAGTGCACTGCAGGAATGTTTTTGTATTTGCCAATCAGTCCAGTTCTGGCTCTCGGTTTTGCTTCAGATTTCTATAAGAAATACTAACATGAGAGTTAGGCAGAATTCAGGACATAAGTAAATATATCCAAAAGTATTCTCATTTTTTAGTTCAAGAAACAAAACACAAGTTATAAACAAATATAATTACAAAATATACATAATACAATATTGGTTGCAAGTCAAAAGAGCCGATTATCTTCCAAGATACCAGATTTTTTACAAGTCAAAGTAAAATTCTCTTCAGAGTTTTTTGACAAGTAAACCTAGAAGGACAGGAAGATGACAAGCTTATCTGAACACAAAGGAGAAAGGCCTGGACATATTTACATCTCACAAGCTGTTATCCAGCAGGCTGGACTGCAGAAAAAGTAATAAATAGGGTAAATGCCAGCCTCAACTAGTCTGCTTCCCAGTCAGTGTTACCTTGGCCAACATGAAATCACTCACAGGGAACAACTTTTTCTAGTGCATCAAGCCTAATCTTTTAAAAACACTGGAATTGATTACATTAATTACACACAGATACATCACTGCTCCTGGAAGATGAACCCCTTATTCTATTAAGTATTTCACAATGGTTAGCCTGGACTACCTGTGCTTGAGTTTATACCCACATAAATATATCTTACACTCGTTTTAGCTCAGCCTCCCCTAATTCAGTTATAATCTCCATTCTAAAACATCACCTGCTGAAGCTACACTTTTTTCCCCTCCAAAAGAATCTTTTATTTCCATAATTGTGTGTCACTATCTACATCTTCTGTTCAAGTCTTCCTGGTGCTAAGATGTCCAAAAGCAAACAGCAGGGCATTACAGAATACATCAGACTCCCCTGATTCAGTAATTCTGTATTCAGTCCCAGATTCTTCTTACAACTGTATAATAAGCCCAAATCCCATTTTTTTGGTCCCTTATCCCCTTCTCACCCTTCCGCTTATTGCTGGTTTTCAAGCACATACTTCCCAGCAGGGAGGTAGGGAGAGTTACAGTGACTCCTAATTAAAAGTTTATCCCACTTACTGTGCAGTTACTCCACTTGATTTCTGAGTGGCCATGGAACTGCAGTTGCAAATGAATGAGTGAATTGCAAAAGGAAAAATCTCCAGGTAAACTTCAGCTACGCTAGGGCTGTCTTTACTCAACCGATACGTTTAAGGCACACGTCTTTAACACAGCATTTACAACAAAATATTTAAAATGTGTGTTAAAATAGCAATGAAAATGTTGCCATGTTATATAAACCTATTTTCCAAACCCTGGCCACAACTTTTATCCAGTGCAACGGAACCAGTACAGCTGGGGGGCATTTTGAAGGCACAAGTGGATGAGCCACAATAATTTTTCTGCCATCCATCAGTAAGGACTCAACGTAATGCATTTCCCCAGGGAACAGAACTACTGCCTGTTATTTCACAGGCGTGGCTAATATTTGTTGCTTCTCTCCACAGAGATTGGAAGCAACATTGCCAGTCTGCTGGGCAATCCTGCCTCCTAGCAGCAGACAGGAAGATCCCACCAGTAAGTCATTTATAACACAAGGACAGTGTTGGAAATGCAGTTTCAGCACTGTGCATGGAGCAGGTCCAAGATAGAGCCTAACAGTCCTCCAAAGACTGGCCAATGTCCATCACCTCAGCTGGATACCCCCAGTCAGAGCTCCGTTGAATGTCCTGGAAAAACAGCTGCTGCTGGAGGCTCTTTAGACTGTTCAAGACCTCTGGAGAGAGTTCATGGAAGACCACATGTTTTTCCTGATCCTCCTCCTCCTCCTCTTCTTCCTCCTCCTCCACAAGGTCATCAGGAGGCAGAGGGGAACATCTAGAGATGTAGCCCTGGTCTGACTGCACTGACTGTCTTTGGTCTTTGCATTGCTCAAAGACCAACTGGTGTTGCTTGTCAGCCTCCTCTTGGCAGAGAGATGGCTCTGAAGGAATGACACTCTGCTGATAAAGAGAGTACATGAGTCCATTCAGATGGTGTCTCAGTTCACCCGAGAGGTTTGCAGGACTCCGGTCATTTACTGATGAAACTTCAGAGTCATCGTGGAGGATGATGTTATTCCTCATTGGAGAGCTTGTCTCCAGAAGAGGAACTCCTTCCACACAGTCCTCATTACTTAGTACATGATGACTAAGTATATTTCTGTCTTCCATGGAAGAGACTGGCTCCACTACCTGAACTAGAGGAGTCTCATCCATAGGAAGGACCATAGTCTGAGAAGTTGGATCTCCACATGGATTAAGTTGAGGCTGCAGTTTACAGCCTTTACTTTCACCTTCATGCATGTGGAGGTTGATGAGGTAACAGCAGTCAGGGTCTGGCTCCCGCAGGTGCAGCTCATGTTTCACAATTCCACACGGTTCACCTAGCAATGAATCCACCTGGCTCTCTCTGTTCAGGGACTGCAGCTCTTCATCATTATCCAAGCAGATGGTTTCACTCTCAAACCAGTCTGGGTGCTCTGCCTGCCAGTTTTTGAACTTTTGTACTGCCTCTTTCAACTTCCTCCCACTAGGGGTATCAATGTAATTTTCAGCTGTGATTTCCTGGATTCGATGGATGCGCCCAGGTTCAAACTTCTCCAAATCCTGAATCCGAAAATAAATATCCTCAAACTTGTCCATCAGTTGGTACCTGGATGTGACATTGAACAGATCAGGTATATCGTTCTCACTACTTATCCCCTCAAAATAGCAGACTATATACATTCCAAAACAGGCTGGCTTCTTGAAATCTGGCAGGATCAAATTCAAGGCTGGGGTGAAAAGGTCTCCCACTGGCTTTTGCTGATCTTGCTTGAGGCACACAGGCTCACTCCCAAGCATGGCCTGCCATTTGGCCTGGGTGCCCCGTGAACATAAGATGATGATCTTTGAAGATAGGTCTTCCATTTCCTTCTTCTGTCGAGTAAGCCAGGGTAATGGCCCTAACTCTGAGATCTGTTGATCTTCTAACAGGTCTAAGGCTACAGCAGTACCACACACAGTCATCAGAAACTCTGCAAACTTCAGCACCACATCCACGTACAACAGGTGATCAGCAGAGTACACAATCCAAACCTTTCGGGGCTTCAAGGGTGGCAGAGGAAGGTCGGTATATGGTGCTGCTGAAAGACAGAAAAATATTCATCCCAGACACATTCCCAAAATTGTAATGGTGCAAGCCAGCAGCAATCAACACAGGAGAATATTAACAAAAGGTTCTAGCAACTACCAGTTTTTAAGCTATTTTGGCAACATGTGCAGACAACACCTCACTGCAGAAATTTAATATGAAAGTCCAGACAGTGGAGCTGTGATTCATAACAACGCCTGGATGGTTCATGGAATTTTACCACACAAAATAAATACACCAGTTTCAAGAGGCTTGCAAATGTAGCAATATTCTCTGCTGGAAAGCTGAGTGGACTCACCCCCAACAAATCTCCTATTGCTACAGCTTAGATGATTTGCAAAGGTTCTTTTGCCAGTACAGCCTCAGCTGGGTTAAAAGCCTCACTACTCTACAAAGTAGTTATCTCCCATGTAGCAACTGTGACATCCCAACTTCCATATACAAAGTTTCTTTTAACTAATCAGGAAGATCCTAAGGCTACCCTTTGGTTTTGAGAAACACCTACAGAGCAGTATAGCCTATGAGCCCCGCTTCTGGACAATTCTGTGAGACTTCCAGAATGTATACATGTGCTTGATAAAACACAGGCAGGACATCTTACCAGTTTGCAAATCATTGTGGTTACATTTCCCTTGCCGGTGTCCTGGAAGAGAAAGAAAGTCACTGTCAGTTCTGAAAACATGAAATAAGATTAAACCCTTAAAAATGATACCACCTTCCAAAGATTAAGTTAAAAATAATATCTAACTGTGCAGGGGAGGGATAAAACCATGCATAAAACCACAGGGAGGGAGAAGCCTAATTAAAAAAAAATATGCTAAATGAATAAAGACTCTTCTACAGCCAATTTTGTTATGTACTTTGCTAAGTTTTTCCTTTGAGAGGATGAAGGAATGCACTCAAAACCAATTCTCCATCTTCCCCAGATCTGGCCAGCCTCAAGAAGTACAGAACCCCCAATTGTTCTGCTATCCCTCCTTACGTAAAAGAGGCTTTTTTAAAGATAGCTTTTTCTTAAGAGGCTTCTCCAAAGAGGTAACTAAAATGTCCCTAGCTACATCTTATCTATAAGATCAAGAAATTTTCCAAAATACTTCCAATTACTCCTCCTAGGTAAAAAAACCCCAGCAAGTTGCAGTTTCCCTGTGATAACTGCCTCAAGGTTGCAGCACAAAAGACAAATTTGTCCTTAAGTACCTAATTTTCCAACCCACTCAATGTCAACCTCTGTGTCCTTTTTTTCGTCTTCCATCTTAATTGAAAAACATTATTTAAGTTCAAAATAGTATAACATGAATTTTGTAGACTTTGGGGGAAAGGGGAAAGTCTACAGTCTGGACAAACAGGAAGCTTCTGTCCTGCAAAACTCTTATCCAATGGAGGAGAAAAATAAATGGAAAATATATCTGTAGCAATCTGCAAGAAACAAAGGGCTGAACTATGAAGTTCCTTTTCCCCCTCATGAGCTCTGAAGTGCTATGAAAATGGAGTATCAGACAGCATGACCCATGGAAGGCTTTACTTAACTATGTGGATGGTACTAAGATGTTACAAGTGTGATGATGTAAAACAGAAGAAGGTGTTCACATCGACATTATGTAGTGATAGGACAAGTGGTAATGGCTTTAAACTGAAAGAAGGTAGATTTAGACTACATATAAGGAAGAAATTCTTCAGTATGAGGGGGGTGAGGCACTGGAACAGGTTGCCCAGAGAAGCTGTGGATGCCCCATCCCTGGAGGTGTTCAAGGCCAGGCTGGATGAGGCTTTGAGCAACCTGGTCTAATGGAGGGTGTCCCTGCCCATAGAAGTGGGCTTGGAATTAGACGATCTCTAAGGTCCCTTTCAACCCAAACTGTTCTGTGATTCTACGATTATCTCAGTGGCAGGACATCAGAACAGCAAGGAAGAAAACAGGAATAGGTACAGAAGTAGGAAAGATACAGTATTAGCATTGAATCTTTTCTTCCTAGCTGGTATGAGTCTTACCTGCTCGTTTTTTGGTCATACAAATCACACCTGCTATGACTGATCCCACCAGTAACACACAGATCCCAGTGATACACCAGTAGAGCCATATCATCATATCATCTGCAGCATAAAAATAGCACTCAGATATTGCTTTACACAAATAGATTTTCACCAAAGAATAGAAGTTTCTTGAGCAGCAGGGGCCAAAGGAGAAGGACCCTGGCTCTACCCAAAACCACGCACTTACAGCACTTCCTCCTTGCAACATACCACAGTCACTTCTCAAAACTAATTCCTGCTTTCATGATGATGCTCTACACCATGAACTTGCTCCACAAAGAACCATATGTGCAGCACACTGAAAACGCAGATCAATAACCTTCCTCTAAACAGCTATGTTTATCCAGCTTTGACAGGCTTGCCACCCATGTCCTGCATGTTCGTGTAGTCCATCTTAAAAAAAAAGTCACCATTTTGGGCAACGTATTTTTTCAATCTACAGGTGTGTACTTCTTTTTAAATTTTGGGCAAACTAGCTCCTTACAGGTGTTGTTTCAGCCAAAAAAGATGTCAAATCGTTATGCACATGATCTAACTTGACATTCATAAAAATGAATATATGCAAGCTATTCTCTCCAAAAGCTGCTTTATATTATGCAAATTTTTTAACACTGAGCAAAGTGACAGAAAGTATTTCATATTAAGACTCTTCTTGTCAAAACCATTTCTCAAAGAATTTTATGCAAGTGAAGTATCTCTAAAAAAATTGTTCTTTAAGGTTCACACTGCATACTAATACTTGCCTTGTTAAAGCATGGTGAAATAACTCTTAACACAATTCATTCTGAGCTCAGTGTTACAAGGGGACATTTCCTGCCCATTGGGTCATTCACAGGGAGGACCATTTATTATTCTATATGACAGGAAAAGAGCAGCAAAAAAAGGTGTTGGAAGAACTTCTTACCTGATGGGTCTGTACCTGCAAAAGACAAGAGTTACATTAAAAATTCAGCTCTCATCTGTAAGACAATGGGACTCCAATTTACAAAAAAGCAGTTCTCACTTGGAGCTGGTGAACATGGGATGAAAGCAGAGTGTCTCAGACAGTCTGTGCCACAGTCCTCAAAGAATGGCTGAATCTGCAGTTGAAATAAATTCAGAAAACAGAATCTGTTCTTAGCAGCAATTTTGTTGCCCACTTCACTTTCCCCCTGCCTCAACATTCCCTGTATTTTAGCACGGAGACACAGAATTCCCATTTCCCTTCAGAAAACAAGATTAATCAAGAATTCTTATGTTATACAACAAGAAGGCAGTGAGCTCCTGAGGTTGCACACCTGCCATTCCCACTCCATAGCCTCTGACTCAGCAACCCTATACTAAGGAAAAGCCACTCTCTACAGAGAATACATGTATAAAAGAATTGTTCTTTCAGACATAGTCATTATTTCCCTGATTCAGGAAACCAGGGATTAGTCAATCTCAGAATGAAACACTGTGCAAAAAGTTGTAACATTCCTAAACTGCTCCTTGCCTTGTCGGTGAAGGAAAGACACAGGGACAACAGTGAGATCCTACCTGTATTATGTAGTTGCAGCAAGCTCCTATGTTCTTCTCTATTTTGATTGTGACATTCACTTGCTGTTGCAGTCCACCCTGCAGAAATCAGATGCAAGTTATAAGGGAAGGAAGAAAATGAAAGCAGAAAAAAAGAAAAGGCATTGACATGAGAATATGGAGTGGTCCAAAGAAGCAGAAATTTTCTGCTGTGGTTTTTTTTTTCGAACAAGAAGCCCAGAGAAAACAAAACGGATAAATGGTTTGGCCACTATCGCTTCAGGTGGCCTGTGTGACAGATATGGTAAGACAACTAAGACAGCAGGCTAAGGTTGCACAGGCAACAGGAAACAATTAAGAATGTCCATTGTGTAACTTAAAATGTGTTAACTTAAGCTTACAGTTTCTTAAGAATGTAAATGTCTTCAGTTATTTAATGTGTAAACATTAACAAGCTTCCCCATTTAATTAAAAAAGCTGTCAACACTGCTGCTTCTGACAGTAGAACAAATAAGTTATCCTTTTTACCTGCTGTATACAATCAATATAAGGATCTCTAAATATATTGTTTACAATGATTAGCAGATGCATCATTTTGGAGTATGTATCTTCCCCTCTGCCAGGAAAATATGCATACAGCTGTACCAGCTGTGTCAGTAATAACTTAATACATACAGTGTATTAAGTACGAAGAGTTTTAAGGAATGGAAAAATTAAACAAACTGAATGCCAATATATCTGCCCTCCTACAAGGAAGGGTGGGGACTGGTACCAAATATTCAGCATTTCTCCTCCCTCAGATGCCTGAAGGGGCACACTTCTTACATCAGAAGACACTCTGGATCTACTTTGAGCTTCTCAACAACACAGGCCGTAAGACCCACAGGAATTGATTCTCGTTTTAATTGAAACTTTTGTTACAAAACCACTCATTCTTGATCTAAAACAATTAATCAACTCCCTCCTTGCCATCACATTTGATAAACTACTTCAATGATTTATTGAAAATTTGCACCCTCAGTTTTGGTTGATTTATTTAGCCTTATCCCCCAGGCATTGGCTTGACAAAGATAGTAAAGCCCAGATAGTTAAATATAAAATTTCAGTTTTCCTTGCAGATGCTTACAGACTGCTCCATGAAACCTCTTTTCAATCTTTCATTCATCGAATTCCTGAAATAAAGTTTCTCTTTCCAAAGGCAACCAAAAACCTGTGAAAATAATTCCCTGAAAACTGCTGTTCAAGTGGGTTTGTTACATCTCCTACATCATGGCTCCAACTCCTTGTTTAGCAACCATTAAAGAAATGTTTGTCTATATTACCATAAAGGATATAATTTAGGAAGGCAATTACCTCAGTGAAATCATGTGTGATCATTTTACACTTCTTCTCATTCAGGAAGCTGGCCACATGAATTTGGTATCGGGCTGACTCCATCCATGGGTTAAAGCTCACAAGCAGAGTTGTATCATCTAAACTTTCACCTTGGATCCTGGGCTCCCACAAACTGCCTGGAAGTAATGCAGATATTCTCAAGTTTCTCAGCTCTCAGAAATATTTCAACAGGGCACCTATATCCATATGACTCAAACATAAGTTTTTACCTGTCTTTATACATGGGATGGTTCTTTTCATTAGAGAGTCCTTGCAGCCTGCAAGAAAGACCATCAATGACTAGTCAGAAACATTGTACTTCCATTTAGGAAGAACACCAGTTTTCTTATCAGAAGCCAGACACCTAAGTCCTCCTTGATGAATACAAACCTTTGTTCCAAAGCAGTGGCAAAATTCTGCAGCAGAATAGTATTAGTTTCCAATGTATAAACTAGTCTCTCTGCTGATTTTATGGTATTTTTTTTTTTTCTGACTGAAAGACTGAAAACAGAGTACTATTATAACAGTAATATTTGACAGCTCTTGCTAATGTGAGACTTGTGCAGAGAGGGTCATAGAGGAACTAAAACTTCATACTGATCTCTGGACCTTGAGTGTGCCACAGCAATAGATTCCTCCAAAAGCATTCTGCCCTAGGAAAACAAGGAGGCTGGAATCTTTCTTGATCTCAAAACACTCTTACACATTTATAATTCTCTTTGATTCCTTTAGCAGATTGGCCCTGCTCTTTGGGACTTTCTTCAGAGTCAGATCCAGAGTTACACCACCAACCTTTAGCCATGTGGTATTCACAAGTCTCAGCCTAAACTGAAATTTACTGAAATTAACATTAACATTAAACTATGTCTCCCCTCCAGGGTTTGGACACAAAGGAAAAGGAACAAATCCCTGTTTAATCAGCTGAAATAAAACATTGCATATCTTAAATTTCCAGTTTTCTAAGTTGGAAAACATATAGTGCCCCTGTAATTTACATGTAAGCTCTGATCAGAAGAGCTCCCTGCAACTGCTTAGCTTGACACGATTCACTAGGTTTCTGAAGAACAGTGGCAGACAAAAGCCAGGAAGTTCTCAGTATGACCAGGTACAAGAAAGGATAAGAGGTCTAAAACCTAAGTGCCTTTTCTCCTTTTCCAGCTCACACTGACTGACCAACCACACACTTTGCCATTTTATAACTACAGAGTCATGCTGACAATTATAAGAAAGTTAAGAAAATTATGAACCAGTTTTCAAGTTGTATTGAGTGCCAAATATTTATAAACCAGTCAGTGCAGCCAGAGGCCACTGCAGATGCTCAGCATCTTCAGGGAAAACAACAAAACAAGTTATTTTTAGTTATAGGAAAATTTTCCTATACACAAGAAAAGGTCAGGAACTCAGCTCCATGTTTCTTGGTAAATTATGCCTCGTTGCATCTTTGAAATAAAACTTTGTCTAAATTTATCATTAGAAGCCAAACTTTACTCCTGATTTGTAAATTCTGGCCTGTACTTCCAGCTTCCACAAGCAGAGGAGCAACTTTGAAAGATTTAAAATTATGTAAAAGCTGCAGCAATAGTCTGTAAAGAGCATGAAAGATTACTCTGCAGCCCCATTCATGCAGACGAAATATCTTTGTGCCTGCTCCACTGATAACATTTCAGCCACAAAATCCAGGAGATGTAACTTACCTTCAAAAAGCCCTTCAGAGGGTCTCTTACACTAGTTTTCAGGTTTAATTTTGAATTTCTCTTTAGCCAAAGATGTAGCAGAATTCCTGAGAAGCTACAAATGCAATTTCTCAGAAATCAGAGGCCTAAGTCCAAGGCTTTGTCCAGCTTTCTAGAGAGCATAGAACATTTTTTAATAGCATTTTATAGCAATATCTTTCATGTAGGAACTACAGTCAACCAGAATCAAAGGGTCTGGCCTTCACAGAATAGTTCCTCCATGTGGACCTTATTCCAAGCAGAGACTTGACAAACTACTGGACACGGGATCCCAGAAACAAGGATAGCACAAATAATACACACACATTGGATATATACCACAGGGGTAATATAGATAAGGCTAGCACCATGAACTTTCCAAACAGCAATATTCAGAAGGGGCAAGAGGTTTTTATAATAGTCACCCTATTGCCAAACTTACTCACAGTTCATGGGTCTGGTCTGAGAAAAAAACAAACCCCAACTACAAGTCCACCAAACACGACAGTCCTAAGTTCAAGGCCTCAGCAAATTACAGCATCTCTTACCAGGCATTGTGAAAGACATGGACTTGCAATTGTAGTCTCCATGTACACCCAGTTTGGGCAAGTGGTAGACAGTCACTTGGTAAGTTTGGCCAGGTTCCACTTCAAAACGGTCAAAAGTGAAATTCCACTGAAATCAAAACACATTCACAAGTACTTGAAATCATAGAATCATGGAATCATAGA